CTTTTTGTATTTCACTAAACCAACATCCATCTAGGGACCTATGTTATATTAAATTTTGACATATAGTGAATAGTGTTAAAGTGAGTTTGAATTGTAGAAGTTAAATCAATTTCTGAGGTGTCCATCAACTGCTGAATGCTGAACAACTTATGTATATGTTGGATCAATCAATCAATAAACATGTATTAAGTGCCTATAATATGCCAGGCACTGTGCTAAGCACTGGGGATTAAAAAAAAAAAAGAGGCAAAAGACAGTCCCTGCCCTCAAGGAGTTTTCAATCTAATGAGAGAAAAAATGTGCAGACAAATATATACAAAGCAAACTATATTCAGGATAAATAGTAAATAATTAACAGATGGAAAGCACTAGACTTAAGAGGGATGGGGAAGGCTTCCTGTAGAAGGTAGGATTTTAGGTGGGACTTAAAGAAATCCAGGGAGGTCAGTAGTCAGAGAGGAGTAGGGAGAGTGTTGCAGGCTTTGGGGATAGCCAGAGAGAATGCCCTGAGCAGAGAGATGGAATGTCTTTTTAAGAACATCCAGGAGGCCAGTGAAATGTGATTTAATAGACTATTATTGTACTATAAGAAACGATGAAGGGGATGGCTTCAGAAAACGAGAGGATTTATATGAGCTGATGCAGAATGAAATGAGCATAACTAGTTGAACAATTTATACAACAGCAGCAATAATCCAAAGACAAATAACTTTGAAAGGTTTAGGAACTCAGATCAATACTAGAACCAAGCAGTTCCAGAGGACTCAAAATGGAACATGCTACCCATCTCTTGAGAAATGTTAGACTCAGAGTGCAAATGTAAATATTATTTGGTGTAGGGGATGGAGGGGAGGAGGAGATTAAGGGAGGGAGACATGACCAATTCAGGAATTTGTTTTGCCTGAGTATATGTGTTTGTACCAGAGGTGTTGTTTTTCTTGCTTCCTCAAGTCGGGGGGTGGGGCAGGGTTAGGAGTGGGGTGGGAAGGTGGAAGGGAGAGATGTGAATCTGAAAACAACATAAAATTTAATTTAAAAAAATTAGACCTGTCTATCCAGATTCTTACCAGAGCAGTGAAATTATTCTTTTTTAATTCCCTAGTCTTCCAAAATTTTGGAACTTGGGCATCAGAATACTGATTCACTCAGTACAACACCACCACTAATAATAATAATAATACTTATTTATTATAACTGACATTTATATAGTGCTTTAAGGTTTGAAAAAGTTTGTATACATATTCTCAGTCCTCACAACAACCTTGCAATAATGCTCCAAACATTAATCTCCCCATTTTATATAGGGAAACCATAGAAGTTTAGAATTATGCATCCAGGATGCAAATCCAGGTCATCGCTGACTGCGAGTTCAATTTTCCTTCTAATATGCCATGCTACTTTTTTCCTCTTAAAGTCATTTTAAAGTTTCCCAGACACAAAGCACTCCAGTGTAGGCAAGGCCATGTGGATCTAATACATGGCTACTGTGTAAGCTTAAGGCTCTAACACAATCACAAAATTCTTCACTTGGGAGATGGGTACTTTAAAATAGAGATTTATATGTTCTATTCTTCCCCCAAAACTATTTGAAACAAACAGCTTATACCATGATGATGTGAGATACCACACCAACTGTAGGTTCCTTATGTACTTTTCTAATAAAAGGTTGTGCCCTGCAGGGATACCATGGCAGGAACAGCTTGTGAGCAGCATGCTTGACCCATCATTAAGACAAAGAAAACATTAGAGGAAATTCAGCACAAAAAGAACATTTTTATTATGTTTACCCACAGCATGAAAACTAACAGAAGAACAAAACGTGGGTCAGATGTTATAACCATATGCATCCAGTTTCAGTGGCATGTCACCTGGCAAGGTCTAACTAGCATTCCTTTCACCCAGGGCAAAAACAGTAGAGACGGGGCAGAGTTGAACAGAGGACAGTATAATGGGCTTGGGGTAGGGAAATAGTCAGTAGGAGCCCAAGTATACCCATTTAACAGCACATGGTTGTGGTTTGTCCCTCATTCTCGAAGAGCACCGGGGAGATGATGACCTTAATTGCAACTGACTTTGATTTGAGTGAGGGAGGGCTGTGCAAAGTCACCAGCCTTGCTTTCTCCTCCAAAGCCATCTGGGTAGAGCAGCCACCAGAGAGGCTAAATTTTGGAGTTTGAAGGGGAGGGGCAAGATGGGCCCTGGGGGAGGGATGCCATGGCAAAAGAACCATGGAGGAGTCAGGATAAGGATCAGGGCTTCATTGACTAGCAGAGGACTGTGAAGCATAGAGATACTTATCTCTAAACTCCTGTGAGGAGGAATTGTACTTTTCCAGATGCCAATACCTGGGGAAAATCTCTGGTTGCCCTGCCCTAGTTAATGGCCATGTAGTTACTGAAAAAGATGACTAGTTACTCAGTCAGTAACTAGACAGCTGTGTGACTTCACTTAAATCCAATTCAGGCACAAGACAAAATATCACCCTATGATGTCACTGGTCCCCTTAGAAAATGAAGGTTGAATAACAAAAACAAGCTATGTGACCTAGGACAAGCCCCACATCTCTAGATTTTAGTTTCTTCCTCTATAAAATTATGGGTCTGTTTTAAATGACCTGGAAGTTACCTTCTAGGATCCTAAGATAGGAGGGGCTCTGATGATTCAATAAAGCAATCGATTTCTCTTTCATTCTTCTGCAAAGATGTTTGTGAGACCAATTTGTTGGAAAGTCAGGGTCTTCTGCCAAATGTTTTTATTTTAATTTACTAGCATTCAGTTATCCTGTATCTGACAGTGATTGGTAGAAGAATATATTCCTGCATCTCAATGCAGTATTTTTGGTGAGGCACACCAAAAATGTAGAGTTAATCTTTACAGCAAGTATAAGTAATAAGAACTGTTCAGTTTCTGTGGTTGGGCACCTGGATGCTGGCAATTTCTTGTGGACTTCATCATAGATTCTTTTAGCTGAAAGAAATCTTTTCAATTTGGAATATCCTTTAGTAAGACCTCCATGCTTCTTCCATTGTTGAGTTCCTTCTGGAGCCTCTATTTTGTGGAGAGGCCCAGGCCAGTCTTCATTCTCCTCCTGGCCCTGTTCTTGATTTCTGGACTTCAAAACCCTACCCCTGCATCAAGTACTATTCATGTCCCCCTTATGCTTTTCAGCAGTGGATACAGTACCACGCCTGGAGTTAGGAAGACCCCTCTTCCTCAGTACAAATCTGGCCTCAGACACTTGCTGATTGTGTGATCCTGGGCAAGTCACTTAACTCTGGTTGCCTGAGTTCCTCATCTGTAAAATGAGCTGGAGAAGGAAATGGCAAACCATTCTAGTATCTTTGCCTAGAAATCCCAAATTGAATCACAAAGAGTTGGACACAACTAAAATGACTTAATAACAACAACAACTTCCCCCACTTGAATATAAGCTCTTGAGGACAGGACTGCCTTTCTTTCTGCTTTTACTGGTATCACTGGTGCTTAACATTGTGCCTAGCACATAGCAATTTCTTTCTTCAAATTATTTCATAAGAAAAAGAAAGCTGGATAACATAAATGTTTTCTAGTCCATCATTTTATAGAGTATGAAACTAAGGCACTAAAGCACCTAACGTTAACTGACTTGTCACCCAGTCAGTCACACACAGACCTAGGAACAAAACTCAGGGCTCCTGACTTCTGAGTTCTTTCTTCTATACCATGTTACCTGTCTTATTCAGATTTCTTTTGTGATTGGAATTAAGGTGAACATATACAAATTGGAATAAGATGTTACATTCATGTTCTTCAGACTTGATGTTAAAAAATAATTTTTATAACCAGAATGCCGTTGTTTCTTGGTTGACCATGAGTGGTAAGCCTCTCTTCAATCTGTAACTGACCCCATACTCAAAATCTTTCTAACCAAATGATACCAATTAGAGTGCTTAAACTTCTGTTACAGAGTAAGCAAACATAGAGTAAGCACCACACCACAATGAAACATCAAAAAAGATGGCTTTCTAGAAGCATCAGTGAGCTGTTGGGAGTTTGGGGAAGAGGAGCTTCCCTCATTCAATATGTATCACACAAAAAGAAACCTCTGTCAGTATGGAAGTCGCCTCCACAAATGGAACCTCTTGGCCAACAACTTTGGTTTGTAGATGTTTGCTTGAAAACAAAACTTTTAGGTATTATTTTTCCCTTTCTTTGGCACACTGATTTTTAGGAAGCAAGAATGCCCATTAGAAGTTGTCCTAGATTTTTTATTTCATTGGTATAGGAAATGCCTGCTAAGGAATTCCCTCCATCAATATAGACTATATTCTTAGAGCACTGCCTGAGTACACTGAGAAGTTAAATGACTTGGCCAGAGTCATACAGCCGGTATGTGTCAGAGGTGATACTTGAACCTGGCTGGCTTTCCATCTATGTATGATGTGTCCTTCACACATCTACCTATGTTTTGGGGGCAAGTTTTCTGGACAAGTCACTTAACATATAACACATAACCTAGGACAGGCAATGTGCTAGGCCTTTTCTATGGAGTCAAAGAGATGTATCAGAGTAGGTAGAAAGACTCCTCACCTGGAAGTCCTCATGCTAACAAAAATCACAGAATGTGAAGAACAAGATAGCTTAACTGAGTCTGCTGTTTTCATTACACATAGTAAGTACTTAATAAATGAACGTTCTCTTCCTTCCTTCTTTCCATCTTTTCTTCCTTCCTCCCTTATTAGACTTTTCCCATAAGAGAAAGAAAGCTGAATAAAGAGGGCCTGGATTGGATAAAACTGACTAGCTGCTGTGAGAAGTTGTTGAATATTTATTTCATGTGTATGTGTATGTGTATGTGTGTGTGAGTGTGAGCGTGTGTGTGTGTGTATGTCTAAGTTTTAGCATTTCTTGACTCCAATAAATACATGACACATCTCAGATTGACATCTCACTTTAAAACCTATTTCAATTTGCTGCCTTAAATGAAAGACTACTTCAAATATGAACATCAGAGTCCTTACCTACTACATAATCACCCAAACCAACAGTGCTTAGAGTGATGAATGCAAAATAAATTCCTTCATTATAGGTCCAACCCTCTGTTGAGTGGAAGACAATTGGTGGTAATCCAAGAAATATGAGGATTCCAGTCATCAGGAAAAACAGAAGTGTCAGAAATTTTATTTTTTTCTAGAGAAAATTGAAAAGAGATAAAAAATTAGGCACACCACAAACTTAGCATGACTTGAATAGTTGCTTTCTGCTAGGAACTCAGGGTTTGCAGTGAAGTCAATAATAAGATTTTGAATTTAAATATCACATTTCATTCTGATATCTTTAAGACCTAATTGAAGGGAAAAACAATTTTAATTTTTCTAATCTGTAATTGGGATATTTGTCTTAGAGATGTGTTTCTTACTTATTCACCCTACGGTGAATCAATGTTTATGGTGCGATTATTCATAGTCTTTATGATAGGATTTTTGGCACACTGACAGGCTAAGTGTATGCATTATCATCAGCCATGACTTGGGGGTCACCCATTATGGGTTTGGCATTGTATTAAGAGCTATGCCAATCATATGTATTTTGAGAGCATGTTGTTCATTTTAGTGATCAAATGTCACTTTCCTGAGATAACTCTCAGACTTCAAATTATTTTTTCCTCTTTTCTGAAAACACAGAATTAATAGGCAGAACATTGGATAGAGCATAGGTCCTGGAGTCAGGAAGACCTCAGTTCTAATCCTGCCTCAGGTGCTCCCTAGCCGTGTGACCCTGGACAAGTCACTTGCTCCCTCTGTACCTCAGTTTCCTCATCTGTAAAATGGGGATGATAATAGCTCCTACCTCCCAGGGTTGTTGGGAGAATTAAATGTGATAATATTTGTAAAAGTGCTTTGAAAACTTTAAAGCATTATGTAAATGCTAGCCATAATTATTATTACCATCTGCATGATAAAGAGGGAGGCAATGTAGTCATTTTTTTTTTTTACTAATTCTTTAGGTACCAGCATTATTAATTGCTAGAAACACAATCAAGAGAGGAAATATTCAAATTTATTAATCCAAAGACTAAGGACAGATTACTAAGCACTAGATTGTCCCACAATGATGTGACATCAACTGTAGGTTTATTATGTAGTTTTCTAATAAAGAATTTTGCCCTGCAGGGGGTAATACAGTAGATGCAGTTCCAAACTGTGGAATATGTTGCTACATCTGTTACAAAGTCAGTGAATGATAAAGGACAAGCTGTTTCACCTCTTTTTCTCAATTTCTCCATTTATAAAGTGGATTCACAATAAATCAGTCAATACATATTTATTTTGTACTATGAGCAAGGCAAAAGGAAGTATCGTATAGTAAGTAAAGGGCCAGCCTCGGAATCAGGAAGACTTATGTCCAATCTCTCTCTCTGACACAAACTGACTAAATGGCCGTGGACAAGTCCATTAACCTCTAAATGGACCCAGGCAAATCTCTGAGTCACAGATTTGCCAATATGCATCAGAGAGGGAGTTTTCATACCAGGAGTTCCCCATTGTCATTCAGTCATAAGCCCAAACCCCTCAGTTGTAAGCAAAGTGCCATTGAGAAGACAAAGAAGTATAAGCTATGACTCCAGCCATCTCACCAGGGGCATGATAGCTGGCTAGTTAGCTAGCTAGCTAGCTAGATAGACAGATAGATAGATAGATCGATAGATGGATAGATGGATGGATGGATGGATGGATGGATGGATGGATGGATGGATGGATGGATGGATGGATGGATGGATAGATAGATGGATAGATGAATGGATGGATGGATGGATGGATGGATGGATGGATGGATGGATGGATAGATAGATAGATAGACAGATGAAAAGATAGCTAACAGTATAGTATAATGCACAATTGGGGCAGCTAGGTAGTACAGTGTAATAGAGTACCCAGCCTGGAGTCAGGAAGACCTAAGTTCAAATCAAGCCTTATATGCTTACTCTGTGAGCCCTGGGCAAGTCACTTAACCCTGTTTGCTTCAGTTTCCTCATCTGTAAAATGAACTGGAGATGGAAATGGCAAACCACTCCAGTATCTTTGCCAAGAAAACCCAAAAAATGGGTCACAAAGAATCAAATATGATTGAAATGACTAAACATCAATGGTGAACAATAACAATGATAACTACAAAAATGAGTAGCAGTGTCAGAGCAAATTACACTTCTCACTGACTCCATAAGGATGTTGGAGATTTATGAAATTTCTGTAAAGGATAAGCTTCTTAGGAGGAAAAAATATGATAAGCAGAAAAACTCTGTAAGCATTTTTTAAAATAGATATACTATGAAGACATTTACATTTTATTTTTTTGAAACATCAATTTTTGAGCTTATTTTGAATTCCTTTTTTTATTGGTGTAGGTATTTACTCCATAGATATAGATTTAAACCCCTCCATGCCTTCTCACCTATACAGTTCTTGCCCATAGCTTTTTATAAATCTTTTACAGAGAATCTCTCCAACCTATGGGAGGCATTCTTCTGGTTTCTTTCAGGATCTTGGGGTAGGAACACATATTGGAGCTGTCCATCTGTTATTCATTCTTGCTGCATTACCAGCCACCTCCTTTGATTCTGGTATAAGCCCCTGATGATGTCTTCTGCACACTTCTCATGCACAATTCACTGTTGAGAACAGACCTCTGAGGCTAGTTAGGTGAACCCCTTCATTTTACAGATGAAGAAACTAGGGCCCAGAGAAATTAAATGACTTGTTCAAAGACACAGGGGTAGTAAGCAAGAATCAAACTGAGGTAGGATTTGAACCCAGATCTTCTAATTCCAAAATCAGTTCTGGTTTTACTGCACCACTCTGCCTCTTGCCTTTTTAGTGACATAATTTTTATACTTCCAAGAATGTAGCACTTCTTGATTTGCTACTATATGGAATTACTAGAAGAGTAGCAATGTAAAGGAGATGACTTTTTTTCAGGAATGAGCACTTTGGAATCAATAAAAGCACTGCAAAATTTCCCAAATGTGACCCTTCCTGATCTTTACATACTGAAGAATTCTGGGCCTAGATTGCTGTTCATCAATAGTACCTATTCAAGATAGATACAAAGATATATAATAGGCTCTAAGTATATCTACATAGATAACTAAGGAATCATCACCAACTATTGATTCATATGACTGTTTTCTTGTGTCAATAAAATCTTTATGAGAATGATTGCCAAAACATATTCCTTGATGGAAAATATGAGAATGAAACAGGCTTTCATGTACAAATTTCTATAATGGGTGACATCTTTATGGTTATACAAACTATGAAGAAGGGTAGATCATATGAGATTCCTCTGGCTCTATCTTTTTCAACATCCCACTGAGTTGATTTCAAGCCCGGTGCAATATGGAAGCATGTAAGTATTATGGAAGTTGCTCAAGAGTGTCATGAAAAATGCCATAGGGCAACCCATTATATTAGCTTATCTTCCTCTCTCCCTTCCTTCTTCCATTTCCTTCCTTTCTTTTTTCTCCCTAACTTCTTTTCTTTCTTCCTTTCTTCTCTCCTTCTTTCCTTCTTCCTTCCTTCCATCTTTTCTTTCCTTCCTTTTTCTTCTTTCCTCCCTCCCATCCTTGCTTCCATTCTTCCTTTCCCTCTTTTTCTTTCTTTTGTTCTTTCTTCCTTCCTTTCTTTCTCTTTCTTTCCAAATCCACCCTCCCCCCAACACTGTTAAATGTCACCACCATAATTCCAGTCATCCTCACTCTCTCTCACCTCTCATTTCCATTTAGTTGTAAAGTCCAGTTATTTCTACCTTTTTAAAATCTCTCTTATATACCCCCTTCTTTCCTCTGACACTGCCACCATCCTGGTGCAGGCCTTCATCACCTCATGTGATAGCCTGCAGGTTGATCTCCTGCCTCAGGTCTCTCTCTATTCTAATCCATCTTTCACTCACCTGTCAAAATGATCTTCCTAAAGCACAAGTATGACTATGTCAGTTCCCTATTTAGTAAACTATGGTGGCTCCCTATTGTCTCCAGGATCAAATATAAAATCTTATGTTTGACTCTTAAAGCCCTTCATAACCTGGCCCCCTTTTTACCTTTCCACTCTTCTTATACCTTACTCTCTCCCACCTATTCTGTGGTCAGGTGACACTAGCCTCCTTTATGTTCCTCAAATATGACACTTCATCTCTACTCTGAGTGTTATTACTGGCTGTCCCAAATCCTTCCTCATTTCCATCTTCTAGGTTCCCTGACTGTTTTGTAAATTTCCACCTTCTTCAAGAAAACTTTCTTGGTCTTCCTTAATTTTAATGCTTCTTTCTAAGACTGTACCCAATTTATCTTGTATATGCCTTGTTTGTACATAATTGCACATTGTCTTCCCCATTAGAGTGTGAGCTCTTTGAGAGCAGGGATTGGAATTTTTTTTTTGGACTTTGGGGAGGAGGGTCCTTTTTTTTTTTTTTTTGGCCTTTCCTTGTATCTCCAGAGCTTAGCACAGTACTTAGCTCATAATAGGTAATCAATAAATGCTAGTTGCCTGACTATCTCTCCATCAAAATGGCTTTGGATACATTTATATTTCCAATGTGAATAGTAGACAAATAGAGATATCTTTAGACACTTAGATAGCAATATCTATATATAAAATAAAGGCAACCGTTTAGATGTAGGTATAGATATGGACAAAGATATCCCATAAACTAATTCAATGGTCTGTGACATAGTTTTAAATATGTATTTTTCATCCACTTTGTATTTCAGATATGTATGGTTATGCAGATCTTCATTGCATTATTCTGTACTTCACTGGCTTTGTAGTATTCCAAAGCTGAATGAAATTAAAGTAAAAGAATTTCAAGAACTTCACAACACAGAATCTTTTTGTACTTTTGGACTCTGTGTAAAATATCTTTCAAGACTCCAGCAAGGAAGCTGTTGTTTATTGTTCAGTCATTTCAGTCATGTCTGACTCTTTGTGACCCCATTTGGGACTTTCTTGGCAAAGATGCTAAGGTGGTTTTCCATTTCCTTCTCCAGTTCATTTTACAGATGGGGAGACTGAGACAAACAGGGTGAAGTGACTTGCCCAGAGTCACACAGCTAAGAAGTGTCTGAGGCCAGATTTGAACTCAGGAAGAGGAGTCTTCTTGACTCCAGGCCTGGTACTCTATACACTGTGCCACCT